GACACTGGACATATAAGAAAGACTTGCAGGGAGCCAGCAGATGGCATAGCGGCTGCGTTGCTGGACTCCCACATGGCAGACCGCGGTTTGAGTCCCAAATCCAGTGACTTGAAACACACCGGGCACCTGTGCATGTGTGCCCGAGATCCCAGGAGGAGAACGGAAAAAGGACTGCGGCATGAACATCCTCCCTGGGAGGCAATTTCTCACTTCCCCTCTGTGTCTGTCTCTCCAGTGATCCCGCATACCCCAAGGCAAAAACAACCTCTAACTCACCCTATAGCAAAAACTTCTCCAAAAAAGAAAACAAACACTGGGGAGGAGTCGAGAGGAAGAGGAGGGAGGCGTGGATAGACACAGGCAAAACCAACTGAGCCCATCAATCAATGAATCAGCGAGTCTCACAGGTGTCCTGACAATGGAGACCCAGGAACCGAAGGGAGGGTAAGGAAAATAGATTCTGCAGGCCGCAACTCGCAGTTTAGAGCCCAAAAGGGTTCCGTGTGAAGGGGGTTGGCACCAGCCCGGGGCGGCTCCCGACGGCGCGGCCTCGGCTGAGTTCAGAGGTCTACACTCCCGTGGGAGGCTCCGATCCTCTCCTAGGGGCTGTCGGTCAGGTCTTTAGAGAGCGGACCCTCTGACTCAGGTGCGGTTTCCTACACACCCACCACACTACCTGCGTGACCCCTTCAGCACGGACCCTCCCAGGAGCTGAGCCTTTCCCACAGCTGGGGCTCACCCTACCCACCTGGTTTTGTTTTGTCCTCTTCATAACCTGGAGGAGAAAAAGGGGACAGAGATGAAGCAAGAGATCGTGACAGGATGATGTGAAGAGGTGCCTTTCTCACCAGATCATCGCCCAGTATTTCCTAACCGCCCTGCTCTGCTTCCAGCCCACAGCTGGGAGGCGAACTGGCGGGGAGGCGAGGCGCACTGACAGAGCCTGCCCTCAGGGAGTGCACTGGCCAGCCGGGGAGATGCTGCGTGAGCAATGCAGAACGGGGCCACAGGTGACAGGTGGGCCCGGAAAAGGCAGTGAACAGAAGAGACTTCTGGGAAGAGGGGCCATCGTGCCAGGTCTTAAAGATGGGGACGTCAAACAGAAACAAGCGGCAACGGACAGCCCTTGCAGAACAAACGCCGAGCTCGTGCTGGCGACGCCAGAGCATGGGAAGCAGGGCTCGTGATGGCTAGAGGCCGCCCTGGGGAGGAGTCAGGAGCCTGTCATGAAGGCCCTGGTGAGCCAGCCCAAGGAGCAGGATGAAACTCTTGGGAGCATGGAGGCCAGGAGAGCTGTGGCGGTCAGGCTTACGCTGGTGGAGCGCTGAAATCTGAAACCCAGAATGCCCCACATCGCAGGTGGAAAAGCCAGACCTGACCTCCCGACAGGTCGCCGTCCAAACACTGCAATACAAAAATAGCATTTAAAATTGCCCGCAGGGCACCTGCAGATGGCATAGTAGTTACATGGTTCGAGTCCCCGATCTGGTAGCTTGAAACTCATGACAGGCACATGTGCGTGCGTGCCCAAGATCCCCAGGAGGGATTGTGGCATTGCCATCCCCCCCGGGGGGTGATTTCTCACTTTCCCTCTCGCCCTCCCTGTTTGTCTCTCTCTCCAACAAGTGCACACGCCCTAAGGCCAAAACCTCTGGAAAAACAAAACCAAAACCAACCACTGCCTCCACACCATGCACGTAAGGGCTATATTAAGCATACACGAATTTGTGTTTAGGCTCGCGTCTCATCCCCAAGACATCTCATAGTGTATATGTAAATATTTCAAAATCCAAAATCCAGAACACTTCTGGTGCTAAGCATTGCAGAGGAGTACTTAGCCGTATTGTGAAGGCAACGGGGGAACACCCAGGAAGGTGACAGGGGCCCTGAGAAAGGCCCCAGGCTGCAGAACACCGGCAGGACATGGTCAGGTCTGAAGGAGGCAGTGTCTGTGAGGGCAGGCGTGAGAGCTGGTGGGGTTCTTGGGGACACGAGTGAGTCTAGGATGACACCCCAATTTCTGGTTTCATGGAGGAGAGGCTGCCACTGAGGTAGAGATCAGAGGAGGAGAGTCCAGGGCCTCAGCTCTGGAGGCCAAGGAACTGAGTAGCCTGCAGGTCACTCAGGCAGAGGGGCCCGGGTTTACCCAGCAGCGGGGAAGAGAGCAAGAAGCAGGGTCCAGGACACTTTAGGGACGAACTGAACGGAGCACACACAGTCTGGGGACAGAAGCCAGGGGGGCTGCCTGAGGCAGAGGAGAATGGGGGACCACAGAAAATGGAAATGGAGGGCCCAGAACTTTGGGCCAGGACGCTGAGGACAGGGATAGGCCACGGAAGGGGCTAAGGATGGAGGGGGACCTGTAGATTGAGCAAGCCGGCAGAGACGCTGTCAGGACCAGGCCAAGGAAGGGAGAGGATGACTTGGGGCAGGGCAGAGGGGGCACAGCCTGAAGGGCACCCGCGAGGAGCTGACCCTACAGGGAGGTGCGACTCCCTGGTTCTGCATAGATGGCGGGTGTGGGGGCTGGAGGTGAGGCGGGGTGGGGGTTCGAAGGGGCTGCTGGGGAGAGTCAAAGAGGACCTGGGGTGGGGCGGGGCGGCATGAGGCAGGCTGGGTTGGAAGCGAGGGTCTGAGAAAGTGGACTTTATAGTATTCCTAGAAGCGAATGGCGACCAGGACTCCTCCGCGGGCTCTCCTGTGGGCGCAGGGCCGGAGTGCGAGAGGCGGGAGGCTGCCTCGGAGACCCGCTGCGGTTGCTGGGACGTCACCCGCGCGCAGACTGGTCAGGGAGGGGCTGGCGGTGCGGGAGAGAGGGCGGGGTCCCCTGTACTGCTGGGCCCGAGGCTGGAGAGAGGTGGAACCGGGAGAGATCCGGGGAGGGGGGGGAGAGGTGACGAGC